CAATAATGACAAAATGATAAATATATGTTTCTTTTGTTTATTTCGGATTGTAACAAAGTTATTGCAACAGTTCCGGCACCATCTATAAACAGATCTCGGAAGAAATTTGGAGAAAGAGCAAATTTATATATGTATGTAAACATATGAAAACTTGAATCAAAAAAATCCTGGGTGAAATGTTTTTACCTACGTAAAATCGAGTTCATTAAATTTGGAAAGTCCAGAGATATCATTACGATATTTGAATATTCCAAGGAATAACTTAAGTTATATTTATTGAAACATTTATAACTAATCTTTAGTAAGTTTTACAGAAAACCCTATTTGAAATGGTTATGGATATTTCCTACAAATTTAATTGTATTTATAGAAAAAATAAAGTAATATGGTTTTTCGAAACAATGCAGAAAATATGTGTATTCTGTTTAATTAATTAAATTATATAAAACTATAAACTTCAAACTTATGAACTTTGTTAAGATGATATAAACCTGGAGAAACATCAATATAACTATATCGCTCAACATGACAGGATCGACGGAACACTAAACCACTTCTCATAAATCATATCATAACCATGAAACATTGGTAACCATATACGTGTAACTCTACATGTTTAAATGACGTCACCAAAAGCACTTTAGATGTTGTGCAAAAACGGTTACTTCAGACAACTCCTAATCGCGGGGCCTGACATGGCCTGGTGACTAGGGTGCTCGACTGGCAATCTCTAGGTTGTGTATTCCAATTCCAAACCTGACAACCCTTTCAGCTAAGGAGGCATTAAAATATGGTAAAGAGTAGCCCAAAAGTTGGCGGTGGGTGGTGTTGACTAGGTACCTTCCCTCTAGTCTATCACTTCTAAATATGAGACGGCTAACACAGATAACTTTCTAGAAGCTTTGTGCGAAATTCAACAAACAACAATCTTCGTCATTAATCGCAAATGTTGCCTTGCTCTCATATTTAAGTAACTGTTTAAAAATTGTCATTCTACTATCTAATCTCTTTATTGTTTCCGAGTTTTCGCACTAATTTACACAAAGGTTTGTTTGCGCATAGCTTTCCCTAGTTTTGAACCGCCTGTCAGTAGTTCTAAATTAAGGGCGGTGCATGCATATAGCCATAATAACTTTGTCATAAAAATAAAATAGAAATATTTGCTTTCTAGAATTTTCGAGCAATGCTACATGAAGACTTTCTGCACATAGCCTTCTGTCAGGTTTTATGAATGGGCTGATTCTTTACAGCAGGTGTCTGTGACTTTTTGGCGATAAATTTCAACAATAAATAAACAGCACACAGTCCACTTGTTTTAAAATAATATATATCAAAACAAGTCAAACGTATATACAAATGTTCGTTACACAGTTAATCACCACAATTGTATACAGAGCTTTAAATAATTGTCTCTTTTCATCAAAGTCCACACAGGCTGGTTCAGGTACTTTAGAATCCAATTGACAAGACAAATTATTTCTTCTTTTGTCTAATTATACATGTATAAATAACTTTGTCTTACCACTTGTACTATATTTTGTGCGTGTATTTATAGCCTGACCGAATTCTATAGCCTAGAATGTTCTACACACTACAAGATATTCTGATGCAATAATACTCAATCAAAACAACCAGATAAACTTCGAAGGCTCTAGTAACATGACGCAATAATACACGTGCCAATTCACAACCGTTGATCTACACAACGTACAATTTGTACACAGATACGTAAACAAACCTGCAATAAGCTATCGCTTCTAAAAATAACTAACTTTAACACTCGTGCTATACTTATACCATCTGAATCATGCATAATACTCGCACTAACTTAAACAGTCGTGTATATCTAACACCGTCTCTAATTTTGAAGTGATAGACATCATAGAAGATAGCTAGTCAACAACAACTCATGGATTTCTAATGTCTGAACGAATAGTGAGATTTAACCATCACTGCTATAATTCACCAACGCCCCCAAAGTGCGGAGCGCGATTTTGCGGTCAGATGACGCAAATCATGAAGCCACGGATTCACAGTCAATTCCCATAATCCTGCTTAGCCTCTTTCTTAAAGTATCCAAAATATTTTAAAGTTTACATGAAATTAATTAGATATTGTTCTTCAGTATATAAGTTATATAAAAATACAACTGTTAATGATATCATTTTGGGCTTGGGCATGGTAGTTAGGTTTCTCGACTCGCAAGCTGTGGATCACGGGTTCGAATCCCAGTCGGTCAATATGTTTGCCCTTTTAGCCGTAAGGAAGTTATAATGTGACGATCAATCCCACTATTCGTTGGTAAAAGAGTAGCCCAAGAGTTGGCGGTGGGTGGTGATGACTAGTTGCTTTCCTTCTAGACCATCACTGCTAAGTTAGAGAAGGCTAACGCAGATAGCCCTCGAGTAGCTTTGCTCGAAATTCAAACCCAACCCAACCAAGACGTAACTTTACCACACCAAAAAACTTGAAATTCATAATATTAAATTTATTATTTATTTTTAAACAAAATCAACACTTGTTAAAATTATTAGATGTTCAAATATTACATGAAATGCTACAATAAATAAAATCTATATGATGAACATTTGTTTAATTCATAAATAATTTCACGCAAAAGCATAATGAAAACATTAGAAATATTAATCTCAGCTTCCTTGTCATTCGTTAACAAAAAATATTATTATGCCTGTTCCACGTTATGCTAATATGAAGTTGGTTGACTGTGTCATATACTCGCACAAAGCTACACAAGGGTTGTTTGTGCCAGATCTCCCTAAGTTTTAAATGGTAGACTAGAGGGATGGCAGTTAGTCAACAGCACCTACCGCTAATGCTTGAGTTACCTTTATCAAATAGTGGAAGTTTATTGTGAATCAACTGAGATACCGGCCAGGCATTACCAGCTGGTTAGGGCGCTCGACTCCCAATCAGAGGGTCGCGCGTTCGAATCCCCGTCCCACCAAACAGCTCACATTTTCAGCCGTGGGGTCGTTATAATATGACGGTCAATCCCACTATTCGTTGGTAGAAGAGTAGCCCAAGAGTTGGAGGTGGATGGTGATGACTAGTTGCCTTCCCTATAGTCTTTCACTGCTAAATTAGGGACGGTTAGTGCAAATAGGTTTTTTGTGGCTTTTCGCGAAATTCAAAACAAACAATTAAAATACCAAATGCCTCAAAACGCGGAGCGCGATCTTGCGGAAACAGGACACGAATCATGGACCCTCGGATTCACAGTTAGTTACGATAATATCAGGCTTCGTTGTCATTGCTTACACGAGACCAAAGCAAACCTATATACATAATCAACGCTATCATTTTCTTTCTTAACTATATGCTATTGATTACAGAACCTTCGTTTACAGATTAGTTTCCCTCTTCATTTATGGATGCAGAATAACATACCAGTGATGCTTGGCAACAATTGTACATAATATTTTAACCTATTGCTGATAAAAACTTGGTTAAATATTTAAGACTTGTAGAGGACTGTGTTCAGATCCCATAATTGTATTCACATACTACAGCAGTAATTGATACATGCTTCAACGCCTACGTTTTAAGCTGTAAGACCGTTTTAAGACTCGCATTGCATGTTGAAACTACATTATTTGATATTGAATACCCGGTTTTGTTCTGCAGAGTGAATCAGAATCAGGCAATATAAAAATTAAAAGCACAGAAAACGTCGGTTGTTAAACACACGCAAACATTTTTTTCTTATTCCTCTCTTTATTGTACCCTAAACACATACAGAAAATGTATCAACAAAGCAAAACAAAAAAAATCGTATTTAGTACTATATTTATGTGATACCTTTTGATAAAAATGTAAAAGATGAGCCCATAAAATTTCCGCATTAAATTTATGGCATACATTATATTTTATTTTTTTATTAAAAATTGTTTTAAGCTTTCATACCTACGAAGCATTACAGTATACTGTGATCTGTTAAATGTTTACCTTAAAGCGTATTAACTATACTAGAATTACAACAGAAAGATAATAAAATGTACATTTGATTATAATGTAGGCCTGGCATGGCCTAGTGATTAAGGCGCTCGCCTGCGGGTTCGAATTTCCGTCGCCGAACATACTTGCCCTTTCAGCCGTGGGATCGTTGGTAAAATAGTAGCCCAAAATTGGCGGTGGTGTTGAATAGCTTCTATCATTGCTAAATTAGGGACGGCTAGCGTAGACAGCCATCGAGTAGCTTTGCGCGAAATTCAAACAAAATATATATAATTTATACCAAAAATATGACAACATTTACACACTGTTTTTTCGCTTATGTTGTACAAACTGTGTTAATCTTGCACTTCAAAGTGCATAATATTTACACCATAAAGTATATTAATCCTTGGAAAAAAATTAATTAAATCAAAATGGATCAAAATTGTAAATAAGAAATACGTACAGGTTTTGAAGTTACTTATTTTAAATTTATTTTAGAGATCAAAACTTAGCTTCAAAATCTTTATCAAGTAACACATAGATCAAGTAATTTGAGACTATATGACATAGTAGACTTAAAAAAGTATTCGCTAGAGGTTGAACTGAAATAACTTATGGTTTACTAGAATTACAGCTGTACCTGTTTCTCATATTCAACCATGCTTTGGTGTATGAGTTAGAATGCAGCGTGTATATCTAAAATAATGATGCATTTCTAGGATGTATGATTCTATAATTAATTCGAATATTATTAAACATATTCCAGTTCTGAACTAAAGCTTTTATAATCATATAATTGCTTCACATATATCGTAGCAATTATCTATAATAACCTGGCACTTTCACATGTTCAATCTTATTATCTTAACTCTGTTGTACTACGCATTTATTATACACGGATTTAAACGAGTTATGCTAAGGCGGCCTGAACATCAGTGTCTATTTTTATTCGGTCTGTAACCAAATGTTTGGAGGGGGTCAGGTGTACAATTCAGTGGAACCTAACGAGCGTTTACGTCGTTGAAATAGAGTTTTCAGACAGCTGCAGGTTTCTGGGATTCCACTGAGAGAAGACTGAGAAGATGCTGCTTGTTGAATACTTATAAAACAGTTATTCTCACGAGTTTGGAAAATTTTAACCTGTCTTTAATTCCACTGCATCTTGGTAATATTTAACGTGACAAAATGAGCCAAAACATATTGACTATAGCTCTAACTCGAGATGGCCCGTTCATGCCTTGGGGCTTTCGCCTTCAAGGAGGAAGTGATCTAGGTCATCCTTTAACTATTCAAAGGGTAGGATGTTCTCCTTGGATTAGGTTTTCCTTGCACTATTTAAGTTAATTGCTTGCATTCATGTCCTTTTTGTGTGTGTATTGTATGTACATTGTCTTCTTGGTGTAACAATCGAATCTTAGAGTATGCTCAAAAAATTTAAACGGAGGTTCTGTTTTAATGGTTTAAGCCCCTCCCCCAAAGCGCCAGAATCTATTTATAAATGAACAACAGAAGTTTTTAGAGTGTTTATGGTTTTACTAACCAACTAGAGTCATGTGGACTTTCTTGGAATTTCTTTTCTAGGCTAAAGTTATCTTTTCGTAAAGAAGGCTGTCAGATTTGAAGTAATTACATAAAGTTAAAAGATCGTAGTTGTTGCTGCTTTCAAGTAACATGAATACTAAAATGATGAAGAATGATAGATTTAATTCTTTGAGCTAAGCTGTTATGTAAGAATATTAAGAACTATAAAATATTTCCACGTAAACTAAACATCTAATATGTGAAATGTATTAGTTTTAACATTAATTTGCAAGGTATAGCTAGTAACTCTGCCAATGTGTTTATAAAATACTTTTAGTACCTGGTGCTGATAAATTCCTTCTTGGTTAATACATTTAGATATTAATTAATTATTCACTAAGGAGCCTTGTAACGTATAATATAACCTACTGGGAGAAAATCTAGAAAATTACTGATGTCTGTTCAGGGTTTGATCAGAAAATAAATAGGTTACTTTGGAGTTTAAGGCAGAAATTCTCTTACGTCTCAAATCTCCCTTCATCTTTCCATGTTTAATTATATCTACAACCAATGTTATTAAGCAACATTTCCTGTTTTTATGGGGGGATTAAATTCGGTGTTCGTAAAAATTACACCTTCATCGTATCAACATTTTAAAAGTTTCTTTGTGTTTTAGGCTCTTAACTACTATATGAAGAATACCGAATATTGATATCATTGATCAAGAGTATAACACAAATTAGTATATCTAACCACTCAAACCCCCTCCCCGAGTATCTCAGCGGTAATCTGAAGGCATATAACACTAAAAACTAGGCTTCGATAGACGTGGTGGGCACAACACAGATAGCTGATTGAATCCTTGTGTAACTTTACGGGAAAATCCTAAAACATAAAAATAAATACTTTCTAGCCCAACATTCTTGTCATTAATCAAGAGTATAACACAAATTAGTATATCTAACATTTTTGTCATTGATCAAGAGTATAACACAAATTAGTATATCTAACATTCTTGTCATTAATCAAAAGTATAACACAAATTAGTATATCTAACATTCTTGTCATTAATCAAGATTGTAACACAAATTAGTATATCTAACATTCTTGTCATTGATCAAGAGTATAACATACATCAGTATATCTAACATTCTTGTCATTAACCAAGAGTATAACACATATTAGTATATCTAACATTCTTGTCATTAATCAAGAGTTTAACACAAATTAGTATATCTAACATTCTCGTCATTGATCAAGAGTATAACACATATTAGTATATCTAACATTCTTGTTTTAATAATTAATCAAACATTTTGACCTGAAACAGTTTTATATATTAAATATAGAGTTTAGTCAATTTTTAAGACTAAAATAACTATTTCAAAACACTATTTTTTTACTGGTTAAGTTATTTTGATGTGTGAAAAAAAACCTTCATAAATCGTATGGTTATAGAATTAAATCATTTTATAAGAATGCATCAACATTATTTATCATATTGTTTTTCATTAGTTAAACAAAGCATTTGACCTGCATGACTACTTCATAAAAAGAATGCACTGACAGAAGTGAAACAATTTTTAATAATATATTTTTTACTGCTAAATGATATCAGTTGCTACAAGTACAAGGTATTAGAGACTAACTGGGAATAGCGAATTACAGGGAACTTTAGGATACTCTCCAAATTCTTTCGTTGATGTAAATAATACGGAGGAGAAGTAACCGCAACAAATTAAGCTACGAACTACGAAGCTTTCTGATATTACTCGAGTTGGGGCCTCATACAATATTCGTCGTGAAACTACTTTTCGGGCATCAGGAGAAGTGCCTAATCAGCAAATTTTTGACGACGAAAGAATTTTCTGGGAGAGAGTTTGGCACAAAATCGGTTTTTAAATGCGAAAAGATCAGTTGGGATTCTTTAAATAGCAGAGTAACTTGCTATGTGACTAGGGACTGTAGTCTTTGCTTTTTAGATCACAGCTGGTTTTACAAAAAGACAACACGTGGTGTAAAATAAGTCAAATATAAGTTAATGAATTTTGCGGCGTAAAACAATAAACTTTGTAAACAAATAAAATACTTCACATATAATAGAAAAATCTTTTCAATAAATTCATCTTTTAATCTGTCTTTTAGCACCTTTCTTTTTACAACTTATAGTTCTTAAATGTTGTTCAGTTATCCCTTTCCTTTTCTAGTGTTTCACCCGTTAAACCCTCGGAAAGACAAAGGGAACACGAGAAGTGACACGGGGAGGGGGTGATCTTAACGCAACCCACATGTTGCCTCCTAGGGTGTTTTTAAAGTGTGGTAAATATGAATGAAATAGCACAGAAACTCATAGGTACCTCTGTAGCGGTTGCATAGGATGCTCACTCCCCGGGATAGGTGCTAAATGAATGGCTGTCACATACACGACACTTCTGCTTAATACTTACAAGTTCGTATTAAGACAGGTACAAATAGCACGCTAATTTTTCATCGAAGAAGAGAAGTACTAAAAGGATTGGTGATTAAAAGTTTTATATTAGAGTTCGTATTCAAGTAGTATAGAAAATGAACTTCTAGCCCCCGCTTTCAGGTCGTTGGGGTCAGCAGAAACAAAAAGGTGGA